AAGGCATGCATTACCAAGGATCAAACTCAGGTCCTTGCACTTGCCAGGCAGGCACTTAGACCACTGAAATATATTCCTAGCCCCACAAATAATTCTTGATGAATTAGAAGACTTCCTCACCTCTTCCCTCTTTTATTTACCAACTCCATGTGCCCTGCTTTCCCCAAACTTCCCCTAAACTTCAGCCAAGATCGAGAACAAGGTCTAACACCAGGATTTGAGACTGTTGACTTAACAAAGCATAAGATAACCAGAGCCCAGCTAAGGACATGCGAAGGAGCTTGTGACCTCACTGACATTCACATTTTCAAATAAGATCATAATTACTCTAAATTTCTCTGCTGTGGTCATTGCACTTTGGGAAGAAATAGAGAGGTTACAACTTGATCTTTGTCTATGCCCTGTTCCAAGTGTTATTTCTGGAAACTTTCTTATGCATAGCAACATAAATTAACCAGTCTACTGTTACAACTAGTATCATTACTTCTTATGGTTCTGACTGACCGGGCCCAGCTGAGCACTGTCCCTCAGCTTGTCTTATGGTTGCAATTAGGGTGACTGGAAGTGACATAATTGGAGATAGATGATGGTTGTTGGCTTAGGTGTCTCTTGTGACAATCACCCTGACAGTTGTTTTGCAGGTGGTCTGGGACCACATTGGAGAACACTTCTGCTGTAAGGTCAAGGAAAGAATGTGATGCTGGTCATAGAAGCCTGCCCTAATAGACCTACTCTGTGCAGCTCTGGGCATCCCTCTTGCTTGACTTGAGACTGCACCTGGACACCTGATTGTTCCCTGCTACATAGAATCTTTCCTCCTATTCTGCCTTCTACCTTCACCTTCTTATTATCTCCCTGAGAACAAGAACCACTGAAGTAAAATTTCCTAGACATCATGACTGATATGGGCTTGAGGATTTGTAAATCAGTGTGTCCAATTCCACTGAAAATCTCACTTCTTCATGGATTCTTCCTCCTACCTACTGTCCTCCAGCCATCTGGTCTAAGCAAAAGCCTTGAATTTGGGAATTTTCTCTTCTGCTCTTCTCTTCAGTGCTCATATCTAGTGAGGCCCCTAACACTCTTAGGTCTGCTAGTAAAAGTACTACAGATACTGACACCAAATATACCTTAAAATGGCCTCTTCACCCATCCCTGCTGTGCCTTCAAGAAAGGGAAACTTGGGTTCTGGTCCTATTGCTCTGGGAGGCTGAGAGCCTTTAGGCACAATAGGAATTGTTGGGGAGGACAAAGAGGCTTCTTGGAATGAGGGAGATGGGATGGAGCAGAAAGTGGATGGCTGGTGGCTGGACATCTACCTACGGGCAGAGAGGGCAGAGAGGGAGAGGAATGTTCTGAGAATCCTGCTGGCAGATGCCACTGGCCTAAGTGTTCCTGAAGTGTGTGGGTGTTTCTCCTCCATCAGCAGCTCCAGCCACCCTCCCAGCTGAGCTGACCACTAGCACGCCCAGCCAAGACTGTGCGAACAGCCTCCGCACTGTTCTCCCTGACCCAGGCCCTTCTCCATTCGTCCCCCACACCAGTGTGTTGGCTGATCATTCTTAGGGGGAAGCCGGCACCGTCCCTTCCTTAGCAGTGACCCTTCACTGTGTGTTGACCCCCTGGACCTGCACTGTCACGATCACCTGGGAACACGTGCAGTGCGGATCAGAAATGCAGATTCCTTGGCCCCTCCCCAGGCCTGCCAAATCACAGACTCTGGTGGGGGGTCCCGGAGTCTGTCCCCTAGTAGGTCCTGCGATAACTCCGATGCAGCTCAGGCTGGAAAGCCTGAGCTCACTCTGCTGCGGGGCACGCTCTGGTCATGCCCTGCCTCCCTTCTCTTCCCAGTGCCCGTGAGTCACGTGCCACCCCTGGGCTCAGAACTTTCTCAGGGCCCTCTACTTGCATGCATGCATTCTCTTCTGAAAATGTTCTTTCCAGACAAGCATCCTTACAAGTTTGCCCTCTGACTTCAAAATGCATCTACCTTCTGGTATCTGTCTTCTTGTGTCTACCTTGTCTGTGTCCTCACAGGGCTCTTACCTGTCCAGGACAGACTTGTTCTTAGCTGGAGTTGTTTGCCTATTGCTTCCTCTCTTTGCTTAATTTCAGCAGAGTATGTTCCGAGGGCATTGGCGCATTCTGAGCCTCTCTGGTATGAAAGTCGAGCTTAGAGTCTACGCACAGCAGAAGGACTAGTATTTAGTACCTGCTAGGATGACTGACTGGTCACACCACCTGATTTGATCCCCAGCTCAGAAAAAAAAAAAAAAAAAAAACATAAACCTTCAAATAAGCAGGTAATATTTTGTCAGCCAGTGTGCTTTTAGGTATAATGTTTCCACAACCTCTGCCCAACCATATCAATTACCCATCAAATAAAAATGTGAGTAGAACAATAATTCATATGTGTGTACTTGCCATAAGAATAGAGTAATCCCATACACCTGGGATGTAACATTTTAATTCTCTTCTCACACTCCAATTTCAGAGTTAGCCCAATTTTGTCTAAAGCAGGGCACAAGCTATTTTATATGATTAGTTATTGTTCATGCTGATTTTTTAAAGATCACCATACTCAAAATCCATTAGAGCTTGCAAAACAAAAAGAAGTCAAATAATCCAGAGATACTGGGCCTACTAATTATTTTGGCTGCCTCTTGAGAATTTAAAGCATTTCTTTCCTGATGTTCAAGATAGTTCTTTACCTATTTCTCCAATTGTCTGATTCAGAGCATGTTTCCAACAACCAAGCAGATGAAAATTAACTCCTGTTTCCCATTTTTCTAATGCAAAGGTATCAAAACATTCAACGAACCATTGCAACAGAGAGGCCTGAGGAAGACTCTGCCAGCCAAAGCTGTGAGCAAGCCCCCGCTGGAGGAGGTGGAGGTGGAGGGAGTGACTCAGAGGCTGAATCTTTCCAGTCGAGCTTAGGTATTGGAGGAGGGATCCCCTGACAGCGGCTGTGGCATCCTGCGGCTGTGTGCCAGAGTGTGCAGCCTCCTCACCCTGGTCTATGGGCTACTGATGCACCTACAGCAAAGAGCAACAAAATGGGTGAAGGGCCAGGGTGGAGGGCAAAAGGCATGGTGCCCACAGGGTAAAGCAGCAACAGAGCTTCCTGTCCACCATGAGACTCGGAAGGAGGTGTGGGGCAATGCAGTACTGTTACCACCAGGGCTTGAGGGCTGCAGACGAGGGAGCAGATGAGTCTGGGGTGGGAATGACTTTGCCATGGTGCCTGTGCATGAAGAGGCTTACACGGTGCCTAATCATGTCTTACTGACTACATTTATCTGGTGGTTTCCTAAGGATTTTTCCAATCATTAATAAATGTGATAAAAATGCACACTCTTTCAAAGGAACACTGGGAATAATCACCTGTTTGCTTTTAAAATAAAATTCACTTCTCTCAAAGAACCAAGGGACAAAGAGGTTTTCCAGGGTGCTCTGCAGGTGTACCCTGTCTGAGAGCATTTTTGACCTGTACAGGACACATCCACCAAGGGATGTGGCTTTTCTTGCCTTTTCTTGGCTTTCCTAAGGCTTCATTTCTCTGAATGAGGTATATATGAAACTTAAAGGCATTTCAGGCTAAGATTTGGGTTTCATCCTCCAATCATTTCATTATGCATCTGCGAATATTTGAAATCTGAAAAAAATTCAAAACACGAAAAGCATTCCAGTGGGAAGGGAGATACTCCACAGTGCTACCTTGGTTTGTGAATGCTTTTGTTCATGAACAACTTGGTTCACATGCAGAACCATTTAGACAAATTTTGTTTTTGTTTGGGAACTTCACATCGAGTGACAAACACAACCACAGCCATCTTGCCTGCATGGACATGCATACAGCTCTTTTCCAGAACCGTGGAACAAATTCATTTCACAAACTAAGACACGACTGTACCAAGTTTGAGATGCATTTGTCCCAGTACACTATGCTCCTTTGCTCCATTCTTTTCAGATATGAGGAGAGAAGGGTCACTTTCTCCAGTGAATTCACAGAAAATCACCTTGCTGCTGCAGTCCCCTGCCGTCAAGTTCATTACCAATCCCGAATTCTTCACCGTGCTGCATGCCAATTATGTGAGTATTCAAGACAGAGGGGAGCCTGACTGGGCTCCATCGAGACCTAAAAAAAATATTTTTAATGTCACTTGATAAATTAAAGAAGATCAATTTTTGTCACGTGTAAAGGGAAAGCAGACAATTTAGTCCCTTTTTCTCACTGTCTACCAATCCCGCAAAAAGCAAAAGGCTGGATTTGGAAATGCTGTTGCCTCTTGAGGTTTTTTTTTTT